TTTTTGGTGGTGTAAACAATTTATTCTGAAGCAATATTTTCATCAGTTTTCTGTCAGCTGTTACATACTTAAATCTGCATGTTTTTAATATTTACCACAGAATGTCATTTACCTTTATAAAGGCCAATATTTTTTTTTACCTTATTAAATGTATGCGTCATCTTTCAAGTCAATCTTTCAAATTTTTACAATTGATCAAGAAATTTAATACACTACAGGGCTGTTACCAAATTAAATAATTACAAAATTACAACAGCAATAAATGATGTTATGGGCTTAATGTTGTAAATTAAATTTTGAACATACAAATAGCAATAATTCTGTTCTGATCTTTGTTTGGAACTATTTTCGTTGGTGAAATAGAACAAAACAGTGAACTGTCTAAGAATGTAAGTAACTTCATATACTTTACTACTTGTTTGTTGAACTAAAATCAATGTAACATTTGCAATCGTAAAAATATTCAGCAAAATAGCTCATTTGTCATGGTATGTTACTTAACTATATCATGCTATAAATAAACTAAACATTTAGAATGTTTACCTCAGTATGTTTGTTCTGTGAGTTTCTTTATGTGTGCCTGTGAATTGGGAGCAGGTGTGTTCAATTTGGTGTTATCGCTCTCACTCTCTCATACTAGTCAACACTACAGGGCTGTTACCAAATTAAATAATTACAAAATTACAACAGCAATAAATGATGTTATGGGCTTAATGTTGTAAATTAAATTTTGAACATACAAATAGCAATAATTCTGTTCTGATCTTTGTTTGGAACTATTTTCGTTGGTGAAATAGAACAAAACAGTGAACTGTCTAAGAATGTAAGTAACTTCATATACTTTACTACTTGTTTGTTGAACTAAAATCAATGTAACATTTGCAATCGTAAAAATATTCAGAAAATAGCTCATTTGTCATGGTATGTTACTTAACTATATCATGCTATAAATAAACTAAACATTTAGAATGTTTACCTCAGTATGTTTGTTCTGTGAGTTTCTTTATGTGTGCCTGTGAATTGGGAGCAGGTGTGTTCAATTTGGTGTTATCGCTCTCACTCTCTCATACTAGTCACTGGAAGTTCAACATGGCACCTCATGGCAAAGAACTCTCTAAGAATCTAAAAAAAAGAATTGTTGCTCTACATAAAGATGGCGTAGGCTATAAGAAGATTGCCAAGACGCTGAAACTGAGCTGCAGCACGGTGGCCAAGACCATACAGCGGTTTAACAGGACAGGTTCCACTCAGAACAGGCCTTGCCATGGTCGACCAAAGAAGTTGAGTGCACGTGCTCAGCATCTTATCTAGAGGTTGTGTTTGGGAAATAGACATGAGTGCTGCCAGCATTGCTGCAGAGGTTGAAGGGGTGGGGGGGGGTCAGCATGTCAGTGCTCAGACCATACGCCGCACATCGGCTCCACTTTGGCTCAGGCTTATCTTCAGCAACTAAGCACCTGTGACAAACAAACCAACTAGTCTGTGCCTTCCTGTTTTGTTGTCTGAAATGTGTGCTTGGTGCAAGTTTCAGTGCCTCCATGCACAAGGCAAGGAAGTCCCACCCTCCTCCTCCTCTTCCCCAAGTTCTGGAGTCTAAAAATCACTAAGTGAACACTTCCTTCCTTGAGAAAACGGTCCTATACTCATAACCATGTGTTTTGCCTCTGCGGTAGCCGTATTGTCTTAGGCGTTATCTGAGAGCAACCGGGGGAAAGCTAACACAATATAGTTCAGTGAGTCATAAGAAAAGTTAGAGCAGATCACATCCATAAACACGAATTCAGAGGGGTGTGGCAGGCTAAGAGTTTACAGGCCTGATAAGGCTATTGCGCTGCTTGATTTAGTTTCCTCCAAGATGGGCTAGATTCCAATGGAGCTATAGTGATGCTTGGATTGAGACAAACTCCACCATATGGACTCAAGGGGATGGGAAGTCTCTACAGTGGATGGATTCACTGGTATAATAGAATCAGGGACACAGAAATAAACCGTCAAGCATGATGAATCTGCCGTGTCAGACAATGCCCACAGTGCAAAACAATGAATTCAAAGAGCACTTAAAGAGCAATGCACTCAGTAGGGGTCTAAACTAAAGGAAATGAGAGGCCCATCTGGGATTTGAATCAGAATACTACAGCACAGAACAATGGCACAACCTGTTCACTCAACAGAATTCATGTGGTGATGTTTGCTTGTTGTGGAAACCTGTTTCCACCTCAAAAAAAATTTTTAAGAAAATTCACAATTGCATCTTTATATCTCACAATTGTGACTTTATTTCTCAAAACTGGGCCTATTTCTTATAGCAGCTTTGTATGTAACAATGTGACTACTCTCCAAATGTGAGTCTATATCTCACAAGAACAACTTTGTTTTTTTAAATTAAGACTATTTTAAGCGTAAAATTTATTTTGCACAATAGAGACACAATTATGTCTCACAACTGTGACTTTATATCTCAAAACGGACACTTTATAATATATCTCAAAATTGAGACTATTCCTCACAGTTGCGACTTGTGATCATGTGACGTCTCACAACCGCAACTTTCTTTCTCAAAATTAAGACTATATTTTTTGTAAGTGCAAATTTATTTTGCATATTTGTGATTTCGCACAATTGTAACTTTTTATCTCAAGACAGAGAATATTTCTCACAGTTGCAACTTTAAATGCGACAATGTAATGTCTCGTAATTGCATTGCATTGTAATTTTCTTTCTTAAAAATTAAGACTTTATTTTTCCGTAAGTGCACATTTATTTTGCACAATAGGGACTTTATACTTTACAATTGTAACTTTATTTTTCAAAAATGTTGACTATTTCTCACAGTTCTGGCTTTATGTCTCACAGGTGCAATGTTCTCAAAATTGACTTCCATAGCTTGCAGATGCGAAGTGACTTAATACTTTGTGACTTAAAACATACCTACTGTTAGATAAAGCTTGATTTAAAGCATGCTCACATTTGATTGGTGTTGGCCTGATACTTATTTTCATTTTGTCAGTTTAAATGTACTTATCTTTAATGAAGCACTCCAGCCCCCTGTTGACTCATACAGGAATAAACCACCTTTCTGATCCCCTGCTACCCTGGCTGTTAAATAGGTCAAGCACACACACACATTATCATACAATTTGCTATGTTAAGAGTCTACAGTGACGTCAGTATGAAGAGTACACGAAACTGACCTGGAGTGCAAGGCTGATGAGAAAGAATAGCCTTTCTGTTTTCTCCTGAGTGGAAATGGGATGTACACAGGTAATAATTACCTACCTCCTTCTGTGGGATAAAGAAAGATGCCTGGGTATCTACTTAGCAGACAAACACACACACACACACACACACACACACACACACAAACACACAATTTATGTCTCACAGGTGCAATGTTCTCAAAATTGACTTCCATAGCTTGCAGATGCGAAGTGACTTAATACTTTGTGACTTAAAACATACCTACTGTTAGATAAAG